GTGGGGGGCGTGCAGGAGGCAGCCGATCAGTGACGCACCTCATTTGCATGCATTTTTCCTCATTGTCATGTCATTGCCATCACTCTAAGGATAATTAATAATTCAGACAGCCTGAGTAGGGCCTTCACCAGAGAGCGAGTAATCAAGATCCTCGTGCTCTTTTGTTCTTTTGTGTTTTTGGTTGGTTTGTTGTTTGTGTTTTCTTCCTCTCCGTGCACCTTTGTCCTGTTCCACTCCTTTCACTCCCCGCTCAGGAATGGGAGCATTCTCAGTCCCCCCGCCTTACCTGTATCTCCCAGTGACCAGGCCTGGGCCCGTGTGCTCAGTGGTTAGAGGGCCGGCCCACGAATCTAAGGCTGCCATCCCCAGTCAAGGGCAGCTACTGGGTTGCAGGTCCCATCCCCGGCCCCAGTGGGGGTACACGTGGGGGGCAACCAAGCAATGTGCCTCTTACGTCGATGCTTCTCTCTCTCTCCCGCACCCTCCCTCCCTCCCGCTGTCTCTAAAAATTAATGGAAAAAATATCCTTGGGTGCGGATTCGCAAACAGATGGAAGAAAGAAAATGTCCCAGGACTTTATGGGAACAAGGAATTATTATGCGCCATGACTCAGGGAACGTATCACAGAAAAAGCTCTGCAGAGAAGTGTTGATTCATAGCACCCTGTCGGTTTACACAGTGCTTTCAATATTCCTTTTCCATCGGCCCTTTGAAGTCAGTTTTTCTACCCTTTTATAGACTCAGCAACATATGTTTACCAATTCATAGCCGACTACAAAACATTTCATAAAAGGCCTGGCAGATAGAGCGTCCTCCTGCAGACTGAAGGGTCCCATCCAGGGCACACACCCAGGTTGCAGGCTCGGTCCCCAGTGGGGACCTGTAGGAGGCAGCCAATCCATGATTCTCTCTCATCATGTTGTTTCTCTCTCTCCCTCCTTCTCTAAAATCAATAAAAATATTTTTTAAAAAACAACAAAAGGGAGATGCAGGCAGGCAGTGAGCAGGGTCTGGTGACACGTGAGCCCACGTGAGAGCCTGTCCCCTCCAGCAGCGCCCTCTCTGGGCCAGGCCGGCCCACCTGCCGTCTGGGGACATTCTCAGGGGGGTCCCCGCTGGCGCCACATGCACACACGGTCAGATCTGGGCTTTTTCTCCTCCCTGCTTCCTTCCTGTCCGCACTAACACATGCTAAAATGAAATCCTCCCTCCACCATATGCCCCCTCCCCCGGCCACCACCCTCACCTTCTCCCCTTTATTACTAAAATGTTTGAAAACAGCAGTTTAGCCGAAACTAGTTTGGCTCAGTGGATAGAGCGTCGGCCTGTGGACTGAAAGGTCCCAGGTTCTATTCTGGTCAAGGGCATGTACCTTGGCTGCAGGCACATCCCCGGTAGGGGGTGTGCAAGAGGCAGCTGGTTGATGTTTCTCTCTCATCGACGTTTCTCTCTCCCCCTCTCCCTTCCTCTCTGTAAAAAATCAATAAAATATATTAGGGGGGGAAAAAGAAAAGAAAACAGCGGTCTTTGTTCCCAGTCTCACGTCCCATAGTTATCTGCCTTCCACCCCCACCTTCCCACTGTTAGCAGTGACTTCCTGGTCGCTTCTCTTCTGTCTTTGTCTCACCTGCCCTCCCTGCCACATTCCAGGTTGCTGAGCTAATCCGCTTTGCAGGCTTTGCCCCTGGTTTGGTTGCCATGGTAGCATGGACTCCTCCGCTTCTCTCTCTGTTGACCACGGGTCTCCTGTGCTGCCTCTTCCACTCGAGCACCTTAGGGTGTTTCAGATGCAGCCCTCCTCCCTCCCTGCTCTGCTCACACCTCCCCGAGTGGCCTGTCGGTGCCCAGGGCCTCCATCCACAGGCACATGCTGAGGGTGTCTGCAGCCCCGCCCTCTGAGCTCCAGGTCTCTGTATCCCAACCAGAAAGTTCCCCAGCCGGGGCTGTGGGCTCCCCCGCTGACACCACCAGCAGATTGCAGGGAGGAGATGTTTCCCGTCGAATGGTACCAGTTCCCCCAGTTCCTCCAGCCAGCAGTGCCTCTGGGTGTGAGATCCATTTGTCCTCCGTGCTGTCCTCAAGGCCACACTTGCATGGATCTGATTTATCCTGGGAGCCTTAAAATATTTGCCCTTGCCTCCTTTCCCACAGGCTTGTTTTCTCGGGAATTTATATCTTTCATAAAAGAGGTTAAGGACGAAGCAGAGTCTGTACTAGTAAATGTGGCCATTATTTCTCCCCGGAGGACAGATGTAAGTGGCCTTAGAACTGCGTAGGTCCTCGGTGATAACAACTCCTACCGTTTACTGTGGAGATCCTCCGTAAGCCAGGCGCTGCTCCAGACCCCGGGATAATCATCCACTTGGTTTTCTGAAATCCCCGCGAGGCATGGGTGCTGTTCCCGCCCTGCCTCACAGAGCTGGTGGGGACTGTGTGCAGGGGGACAGCGCCACGCAGCAGAGGCAAGACTTGAACCCAAATGACTGGCTCCGGACACAAGCTCTTGACCTCCGGCAATCATGTCTGGCAGAACAGCTTGCGTTCCTCATAGCAGCGTTTTCCCTTTATCACCATTTCTAAAACGTTAAAAATACGCAACAGACTGACGAATCTCAGGAGAAGGGCCACCGTCCCCCCCAGAAAAGACTGACCAGAGAACTTACATGCATAGACTGTATGCATAACCCATGGACACAGACAATAGTGTGGTGAAGGCCTGGGAGGGGGTGAGGATGAGGTGAAGGGGGTCAATTGGTGAAAAAAGGGGAACATCTGGAATACTTTCAACAGTAAAAATATATTTAAAAAATAATTCAAATTACCAAGACATGGCAGAACTTTAAATATATGCCTCACGCCCTGACCGTTTGGCTCAGCAGATAGAGCATTGGCCTGTGGACTGAAGGGTCCCAGGTTTGATTCCAGTCAAGGGCATGTACCTTGGTTGCGGGCAGATCCCCAGTAGGGGTTGTGCAAGAGGCAGCTGATTGGTATTTCTCTTTCATCGATGTTTCTAACACTCTATCCCTCTCCTTTCCTCTCTGTAAAAAAAAAAAATCAGTAAAATATATCTAAAAAATAAATATATGCCTCACGTATACATATGCAAGTTATTCTTACACTAAGTAATGCAGTTTGCTAATACAGTAACTAAGGCGTCACAAAAAATAGATACATAATTTTTATTCTATTTTATATTACTCTTATTTTCTAAAGACCTTTAAATTTTCCTTTGCTCCTTTGAAGCTTAAACAATAATCATAGCAACATTTTGCTGCTTTTAATTCCTCTGCTTACGTACGTCACAACCCGAATCTTTGTCATTTTTATCTTAGAAATACTTAGCTTTCCACAATATCAACACAAATCATCTTCTGTCGCTTTGTTTCTTGAAAGTGGTTAAGCAACTGTATAAAACTCATAGGAAATTGATGACTCATGTAACGGAAAGCATTTACTAATGTGACTTTTGTCTCAGTTGCCAAGAAGTCTGAGTTTGTTTCCATGGTAACCCATCAGTATGACAAATTGTCAAGCACTAACTGCCACTTTTTTTTTGTTTGTGTATGTACTTTGGACAGCCTTCTAATAGCTCTGTGTGTGTGTGTGTGTGTGTGTGTGTGTGTGTTTTAAAGATTTTTATCACAAAAAACTTTGAGTAATTTCCTTAGACACAGAAAAATGTATTTATTTAGAGATACTGTTTAATTCTCTGAAGCTATTGTTTTGATATTACAAAATCTGGAAGATTATTTAAATTAACATGCCTATTTCTACTTGAGTTCCTTTGTTGCCATCATCAACAAAATCCACTTACAGGATTGGTTCATTTGAAATACATGTTATGTGATTACAGGAGACTCTGCCACAAGCAGGCAGGGAAAAGGAAACGAGGAATTTGGACTTAGGGAATGAGGGGGAAGCCACTTCAACCGGTTCATGCCAGTCCTCCTGGTGGCCAGTGTTCTAGGCTGGAGAGTGGCAGACACAGGAATTCAAGGACCGAGCAGCCCAGGCCATCGATCACACCGAACACTGGGCCTTCACCTGCAGCCAATTTGGAAAAGACTCTTAGAGGAAGTGATGACTAAACTGAAGGAGTGAAAGCAAAACTGGTGGCCCTAGCCTGTCTGGCTCAGTGGATAGAGTGTCGGCCTTCAGACCGAAGGGTCCTGGGTTCAATTCCGGTCAAGGGACTGTACCAAGGTTGGTCAGGGTGCATGCAGGAGGCAACCGATGGATGTGTTTCTCTCACATCGATGTTTCTCTGTCTTTCCCATTCTCTCTTCCACTCTCTCTGGAAATCCGTGGGAAAATATCCTCAGTGAGGATTTAAAAAAAAAAAAAGCTAAACTGATAAATAAGAGAAGTGGAATGGGAGAGAAAACATTATGAACAAGGGTATACCAATGAGAAATAGTATGACAGAAATGATCTGTTGGGGACTGAATGGCCAGCAGTATGAGAAAGAAAAGAGTGGAGAGACAAGACTAGAGAAGGGCAGGAGCTTGGACCGGATCCTCTCAGATGTGGGGAAGCAGTGAAGGGTTTTAGACAGAGGAAGGCGGGTTTGAGCGAGGACCAAGTAGGAGACTGTTGCCACGTGTCTGCTGAGGGACTGACAGGCTCAGGGTGGTGGCCAGACACAGGAAAGGGGTTCACTCAGGAACAGCTGTGAAGTAGCAGAGACAGACTTGGTAGCGGGGCCTGGGCCTCAGTGGCCGGGCGTGACACTGATCGGTTGTGTGTGGAATGAATGAACAGCGAAGCTCCAACTCAGAGTCTGAATCAATAAGTGAACTCACCCTTCCCCAGTGCCTGTGAATAACTAAAACCTTCAAACATGTTTCGGGGCCCACTGTTAGGAATGTGTTTGCTTCCAAAAACTGCCATTTAACGTAGCGCTTTTGCATTGCAGACCCGGGTGGCAGAGCGTATGTGTGCCTTCTTGTCATGCCATGGATCATAGTTCATTCACTGGCTCTTCTTTCCCCCCTCAGGGAGGTGGTGCAAGCGAACTGTGTTCACTGGAGGAAGAAGTTCTCGTTTATGTGCAAAATGAGCGCCAGCGCGGCCACGGGCATCCTGGATCCCTGCATCTACAGGGTGTCTGTGCGCAAGGTACAGAAATAGCCGCCCGTCTCCCCTTTCAGGAGCCAAAATTAGCCCCCTCCCTGCCGACGCACTTTATTTAGCTCTGCTTTGTCCCTAGCACTGTTACATGCCATTTCCCTTCACACTCGCAGCAGAAGTTCAAATCACCGTGACAACCAGGGTGGAGAATCTGAAGTTAGCCTTTTATATACAGATTAGAGGCCCGATGCACGAAGGCCATGCAGGAGCAGGCCTTCCTTCCCCCGGCTGCCGGCACCGGCTTCCTCTGGCATCCAGGACACTGGCTTCCCCCACAGCCTCGGCTTCATCCGGAAGGTTGTCCGGAAGGACGACCGGTCTAATTAGCATATTACACTTCTATTATTACAGATTATATATACTGGTATAGATCTTTGACAGTGTGAACATGTCTAACTCAGAATTATTTGACATATATTTCATTTTAAGCCTTTGATTATGTGATACTTAATCGTGTTTTCTGTGTTTGGCAGGAATTAAAAGGTGGAAAAGCTTATGCAAAGGTGAGTGAACGGTCTTGAACGCTTTTGGAGGGCGTCATTTATAAAACTTAAACATTCACTAGAGTGCCCTTCTCATTGCCGCTCACATGGGCTGATTTTAAACAACCCAGCTTGGAGGTTGAACCGTTGGCTTCAGCAGTACAGTATAGGCACATTCTTTCTAAATGCTGATGGTGGGGCGTTCTTAGGTTTCAGTGTCAGTTCTGGACTAGAAGGTGATTTCTGGTTTTTATGAAGTAATACTCTTCCCGGGAACTAGTCCCAGTCCCACCTCCCAGGGCCCCCCCCCCCATCCTCACCCACCCCCTCCCCTCCCCCAGTAAAGTAGGACCCTCCCTGTGTCCTCTTAGCCTCTGATAGACATGATCTCTGCCGTCCTTTATTCTCTGTTACCTGTATGGAACTACTGAAGAATGCGGTCACCTTTTTGCTGACTAGAAGGAAGTGGTGCCAGAAACCCACATGCTTCTTACTTCCAGTCTCTGTGATGGTATCTCCATCAGCCAGTCAGTCCTCTGAGCCAAGAACCGGGCACTAGGCCCGGCCAGCACATCTGCCTAACTCCCTAAAACTAGTGGGTTGCAATGTCAGTCAGGATGCTCTTTCCTACAAATAACAGAAAAGCCTCCTCGCCTAGAGATGGCCAAGGACCAAGGGGCCAGAGACAGTCAGCGTGGACGTTTGCAAGGAGCTTTGCAATAACAGGGGAGCAGAAAAACAGCTCAGTAGACAGAGGGAGACGCGGGCTGAGGTGTGGGCTACTTTTGTCCATTAAGGCGGAGAAGATCAGCATGTTTGTGTGCTGGTGGTAATGACCCAGTAGAAAAGGCAGAGTGCAAGACAGGGCCGAGGTCCTGGAGCCGTGAACTTGAGTCTGAGCACCGCCAGCTCCTTTCCCATAAGTGTAACATGCGGGCACAGATGCAGGCAGGTGAGTGGATGTGGCTGGAGATAAGAGCTTATGAAAGTTAAGTGCTCTTTTTTTATATATATAATGTATTTTTTATTAAGTTCAGAGAGGAGGGAGAGAAAGAGAAACATCGGTGATGAGAATCATTGATTGGCTGCCTCCTGCGCGCGCCCCCTACTGGGGATCAAGCCCACAACCTGAGCATGTGCCCTTGACCGGAATTGAGCCTAGGACCCTTCCGTCTGCAGGCTGACGCTCTCTCTATCCCTGAGCAAAACTGGCTAGGGCAAGACAAGTGCTCTTTTGATTGCTCTCCTCTTCTTGAGTGAAGTAAGACGAAAGGCATTAGCACAGAGTCCAGATGTGCAGGAGGTGTGGGAGGTTCAGAGAGAAAGGTAAGGTCTGAAATAGGGCGTGTGGGTGATCGTGATCAGACAGCCATAGGGGTTCCCAGATGTTCCCTTGGATGTGGCTTCTCTCTCATCATTGATGTTTCTATCTTCTCCCTCTCTCTCCCTTCCTCTCTGAAATCAATAAAAAAAAAAAAATTAATCAGCCAGTGAATGCATCAGTTAAGTAGAACAACAAATCAATAATCTTCCTCTCTCTCTCAAAAGTCAATTTTTTTTTAATTTTAATTACAAAGAAACGATATAATGGGGTTAGCTTGTACCACTTGGAAACAAAAAAAATAGGGTTGAGCGTGCCAGAGGAAAGACTGGAGGGCAATCTGGTAACTGCAGAAAACGGGGAGCAGGCCTGGGTGGTGATAAGGAGAAGGACTAGGTTTGAGCTGCACTTCTGGAGGCAGCGAGAGCATCGGTGTGGGGCTCAGCTTTGGGAAGGAAGGAAGTAGGGTTTTTAAAGAAAGATTCAGCTCAAGAGTGATCAGCAAGGCCAGGTTATGGAAGGTGCTGGCGGAGAAGGGGCTTGTGCCCAGAAAAGTGAGTGGCACACGCATCTTTCTCGTTCCCGTGTGGAGAGTGTGACTGTGATAACCTGCTGCTGCCTGCAGCCCGCAGACGCTAACTGGGAGCTGAGCCAGCAGCCAGGGACAGGGAGGAGGAAGTCCGGTCAGTGTTCGAATGTGTATGCAGATGGTCCTGGGTCCACTAGCATTTCCCTTAGTGCAAGTACTTCTGCTCACAGTGATTTTAGTTGCTTAATATGCATCCTTCCTTTTTATTTCAACAGTTATATACCCAATAGTTTATATTTAGCAGATCAAATATATTTAGCATGTCAAATCTGTGATTTCATTGCTTGAGATTGCATTGCTTAAGATAAGAGAACAGCCCTGGCTGGTGTGGCTCAGTTGGTTAAGCACCAAAAGGTTGCTGGTTCCATTCCCAGTCAGGGGTCAGGGCACCTGCCTGGGTTGCAACCAACCTATGTTTCACTTTCACATCGATATTTCTCACTCACGCCCTCTCCCTCTTCCTTTCTCTCTCTCTCTCTGAAAATCAATAACAAATCTTTTAAAAAATAAGAAAATAAAAAAAGATAAGAGAACAATAGGTAATAAAATTTTTACCAAAAGTGAGCCAATTTAAAGACATATTAAGCAAATAATACAACCGGTATTGTTAAGATGGCAAAAATTGCAGTTGACTGAAGTTTGTAGAGCATCGGTTGAATGTTTATTTTAAGGAGAGCGTGATGGAAGCTTAATCGATATTCTACTCATATACTTTTTCTCCTTTTCCTAGCTGGGCTTTGCAGATCTAAACCTGGCAGAGTTTGCTGGATCGGGAAATACCACTCGCCGCTGTTTACTGGAAGGCTACAACACCAAAAACACAAGACAGGATAACTCCATCCTCAAAGTAAGCTGGGTCACGATGTACATGTCAACTCAGGAGGTCCTCTGCCTTCAAATAAGCGGGGGACATACTGTCCAGGGCAAGGAGGGACTCGACCCTGAGATCGCAAGCTGAGCACACCCCACAGTACTCAGCGGCCCCCTGTAGGAAGCAGCACTGCAATACTGTGCATAATCCAACTCGGCAGTTGTTCTGTCCCGTCCTTCCTGACCTGTTATAACCAGTCTTCCTCTTGCTCATGTGTAGGTTTTCATCAGTATGCAGCTGATGTCTGGTGACCCATGTTTTAAAACGTAAGTCGATGCTCAATCAATCCATTATTTCTCTGACAGTATAATAGTCATTTATTGGTTTCAGGTTTCCCACTCATGTTTCAGAGTGTTTATGGCTAACCCCAGGGAAGGGTCAGTTTCTCTCCTTTGGCTGACCTGACCCTCGTGGGAGTTACCATGACCTATCACCCAACGAGTTCTCCACACCCTGAAGTGTTTCAGCTCCTGTCCTCTTCAGGTTTGGAGTGAAATGATATAATGAGGCCTCTGTGGGCTCAGTCATGTCTTCAGCAAATACCCAGCAAGTGCCTTACCATGGACCAGGCCCTGTTCTGGACGTGACCAGTAGCAGGCAGAAACAGACCAGGTCCCGACAACTCGGAGCTCATCTTCTGAAACAGCAGACTATCAAAGAAATGCATGATGTGCAGATGGCAGGGAGTGCCTTGGAGAAAACCAAAGTGGGGGACCCCGGCAGGAGGAGTTTCTCTTTTCCATGGAGCAGGCAGGGATGTCCTCCCTGGTAAACATGAAGCGTGAGGCAGAGAACATGGTGCAGGTGCAGATGTCGGAGAAGTGGAAGCATGTGGGAGTTATTTTCAAACTGCTCCTGGTTTCCATGGTTCGAGTCCCATCAGGGCACATGCCCAGGTTGCAGGCTTAATCCCTGCTGTGGGGTGTGCAGGAGGCAGCCAGTCAGTGATTCTCTCTCGTCATTGATGTTTCTCTCCCTCTCCCTTCCTCTCTGAAATCAATACGTATACATATATACTTTTTGTAATTGCTCCTGGTTTCTTAGGGAACGAGGAAGCCAGGTGATCCCTGTGGAGTGAGTACATGAAATGCAGAGCTGGGGGTTTGGGGAAAGAGGAAAAGGCGTCAGAGCGAGGACGAGCGAACCAGCTGGGAGGAAGTGGGGATTGCCTGTTAGCGATGTGAAGACACTTAATAATTAAACCTGAAAGTTAATTAATCATTATTTAAATATCTGAGAGAAACATATTTATTTAGAAAAGTAAAGAAAACATTAATTACTACCCTATGCATCATTCCTGTTTTTAATAGCAGCATCTCTATACTCTTCTCCTTACAAATTGTTTTTGCATACTTGAACACAAATCAATTATTGATTAAAACTATGCATTTTCTTCTCAGCCTTCCTGTGCTGTCTTCTCTCAGACCGTAATTTCCTGGCTTTTTTCTTCATTTCCTGTTCTCCGGGGACTAAACCATTTTCACTGGACTATATTTGGTTTGTTGGGTCAAAAAAAAAAAAAAGTGGCAACAAAAGTGGCAATTCATTTTCTTCTTAGTAGAAGAAAATGAATTAATCATTTCTTCTTGTGAACTTTTTACGAATAGTCTTCCTGGCCCTTTGTCTGCCATTTCCTCTCCCTGCTTGTGAAACTCAGATACTGAAAAGCCAAAAAATAGATCACCTTATGTCCTGTGCTATCTCCACAAATATAATTCTGACCATCTCGAGTTGATACGTGTGGAGACTTTTATAATTTATTAGAATAAACAGGCATGCCTCGTCACAAGATATGTAAAACTACTTGTTTTCTCTTTTCTTTGGATAGGGGAAATTGTCATTTTAGAGGTTATTTGTCACGTGCTTTTCACAGTACTATCAAACTAAATCAAAACAAGCCCTTGCCGTAGCCCATCTGGCTCAGTGGATGGAGTGTTGGCCTGTGGACTGAAGGGTCAGGTTCAATTCCGGGCAAGGGCATGTACCTCAGCTGCAGGCTCCATCCCTGGCCCTGGGCCAGGTGCATGTAGAGCAGCCGGTTGGCGGGTCTATCTCACATCAATGTTTCTCTCTGTCTCTCCCTCTCCCTCCCACTCTCTCTCTTAAAAAAAAAAAATCAATGGAAAAATATCCTCTGGTGGGAATTAACAACGACAAAAACAAACAAACAAACAAACAAACAAACAACAAGCCCATCTCTTTTGTTCTGTGATGGAGCCATATTGAACAGTTTCTGATAAGGGATACAAAACATTTCAGAACACAAGGTAATAGAGTAAAAGCTGGCGTGTGACAGGCACCGGGGATTAGTTATCCACCACCACTGAGTCGTTTAGGGAGCTGCCAAGGCCCAGCTAAGATTTAGATCCTTTGCTCGCCTTCATACCAATCCCCATGGGGATGAATTCCCTCCCTACTGCTCCATGGCCCTAGTATCAAAGCTGCTGGTGCAGGGGCTGAAGTTATCAAGGGTCAAGTTCTTCTAGTTTGTTAAAGACTCAATGGAGGGGTGCCACACCAAAGGCATTGCTGAAAGCTTGTGGCTCTGAAGCCAGGCCCCACACCGGGCAGGAGAGAGTGGAGCCTGAGGGAGGCCGATGGAAAGGGTCGAGGCCTCGGGCTGGCAGTGCCGCAGGGCTGGGGAGCAGGTCTGCGAGGTGGAGGGCTGGAGACACTGTTTTCAGGCCGTCCGAGAAAGGAAAACCAAAGGAGCTGGCATGAGAAAGATAAGCTTATGGACATAAGGCCTGAGTCACCATCCATGATTCATGACTGTAGACTCCATTCTTTTTTTAAATATATATATATTTTTTTATTGATTTCAGAGAGGAAGGGAGAGAGAGAGAGAGAAATATCAATGAGAGAATCATTGATCGGCTGCCTCCTGCAAACCCCCTGCTGAGGGTAAGCCTGTTACCTGGGCATATGCCCTGTCCAGGAATCAAACTTTGACCTCCTGGTTCATAGGTCAACACTCAACCACGGAGCCACGTGGCCAGACAGGTCTCAGGTTTTTTATTGTGTAAAAGGAACCTCTCCCTACCGCCATGAATTTTATTCGGGTCTTGAGGATGCTTCTACGTGACTTGTTGATTTTTATTACTTTGACCCTCAAAGAGATAACATTGCAGGGACCTGCCTGAGGCTGGTTACTGACCACCCAACCAGTCTCTCCCCGTAAACCAAGTTCTGATCCTTAGGAATGCTTATTCCCAGGCCTCCTTCTACGTCCATGTCAATACCGATCGCCGGGGAATCCGAATCTCTGGAAGAAGACAGAAAAGGAGGGGAAACTCTCAAAATCCATCTTGGAATAGCAGGTATGGCTGTGCCGTTCACTGGGTTTGTAACTGGTGAGATTTGCATAATCCGCCCACATTTAAAATCCTGTGGGGACGTGACTTATTAGAAACACTGAACAACAAAAACGACGTTTATTATTTAAGGTAGAGTTCTGTTAATTTTTATGAAAAATACCACAGTTCTTCAGTAAACCAAAGAATTAAGTGTCATTTTCTTGCAATAGGGTTGTTACATTGCACTGATTTCAAGGAATCTCTTTCACGCTGCTTTTCATGATCATGAGCTTGGCAGTTGATAAAGCCCGCAGATTAGGATGCAGTGGACCGTTGTCTTGTGCGCAGCGGCAGGAACACGATGTTATGACATATTGCAGATCTCTCAGCAAAGAGCGCCTCGGTTCCGGACGAGCTCGGAGCCTGTGGACATTCGAGAACGTCGAGCCACGCGAGCCAGCAGTCAAAAGTATCAGGTAAGGACTGGACGGGACGTTCCTCGGGCCTTTATTGCTCTAAAGCAAGGAGCCTTTCTCCTGCCAGGGGCCATTTGGCTGTTTACTTACTTTTAAAAATATATTGTTATTGATTTCAGAGAGGAAGACAGGGAGAGAGACATCAGTGGAGAGAGAGAATCGCCGATTGGCTGCCTCCTGCACGCTCCCCTCTGGGGATCGAGCCCTGGTCCTGGTTCATGGGTCGATGCTCACCCACTGAGCCACATATTTATATCATTCTTGGACCTTCCAGAATTATCAACTGAAAAACTAGCGGGCCATATTTGGTCAGACACTTAACTCACCCCTGAGGCCTTGGCAGGGCCAGACCAGTTGCTGTCTGGGGCCTTATATGGCCCGCAGGCCAGATGTTCCCCACCCCTGCTAAGGCACCCGAAGTGGTGCGGTGCGGGAGGAGAGGGTTGGTCGCAGAGTGTCTGGTGAGGGCGTCCTGTCCTGAGCGAGCTTCTCTGACCACAGGGTACAGCTCGTGCCACTCCCGGTCGTCCAGTCTCTCTGAGCTCTGCCACCGGAGAAACACCTCTGTGGGAAGCACATCGACGGGCGTGGAAAGCATTCTAGAGCCAAGCGAGGAAACTGAGCAGAAAGGGGCCGAGCCAAACCCCGATGCAGCTGACAGAGAAGACTCGGCCTCAGAGACCCTCACCAGGTACCCTTCAGGCCTCAGCTCCGTGGAGCCGGGGGGAGTCACAACACAGTGTAAAGGAGGACTTTTTATTTTTTATTTTATTTTATTTTATTAATATATTTTATTGATTTTTTTTACAGAGAGGAAGGGAGAGGGATAGAGAGTTAGAAACATCGATGAGAGAGAAACATGGATCAGCTGCCTCCTGCACACCCCCCACTAGGGATGTGCCTGCAACCGAGGTACATGCCCTTAACCGGAATCGAACCCGGGACCTTTCAGTCCGCAGGCTGACGCTCTACCACTGAGCCAAACTGGTCTCGGCCTAAAGAGGACATTTTAAACATTCTTTCCAAAGGTGCCCGGTGAAACAAGATTCTGTAGAATTTCAGCTGAAGCGAGTCGATGACACCAGAGTGGACGCCGACGACATTGTGGAGAAGATACTGCAGAGCCAGGACTTCAGCCTGGACTCCAGTGCGGAAGGTGCGTGGTGGGCGCCGGGCGCATGTGGCCGTGGGCCGGGCCAGCCGGTGTGGCCGGGCCAGCCAGTGTGGCCGGGAAGGGGCTCGCATCACCACGCTGTCTGAGCGCATTGGTGAAATGCACTTTATGCCCATAGAAACCCAAACATAACCTTGTAGCTCATTTGTTTCTAAGAAAGGATATTAAATTCGATAAAGAACAAACTTAAAAAAATTTTTTTTTAAATATATCTTATTGATCTCAGAGAGGAAGGGAGGAGAGAGAGAGAGAGAGAGAGAGAGAGAGAGAGAGAGAGAGAGACATCAGTGATGAGAATCATTAATTGGCTGCCTCCTGCACACCCACCACTGGGGATCGAGCCCACAATGCAGGCATGTGCCCTGACCGGGAACAGAACCATGACCGCCTGGTTTGTAAGTCCACTGAGCCACACTGGCCGGGCAAGAATGGACTTTTAAAAGCTCAATTTTAGAGAAAGCTCTTCACTGTATTTTTTAATTATGCATCCATGTCTACTATGTTCATATACCGTATGATGGATATTTACATCTGCTTTGTCATAACTGGACATAAGTGCTTCAAGGCTCTGTTGCAGTGGGGAAGGTTGGGTGGTAAACCAGAAATGACAGTGAATAACGAATCCTTCACTCCCTCAGCATTTCCACTGAAACCGAAAATGCCCATGCCACCGGGCTGAAGTGGCATTATTCCTGCTGGTGTGAGCAGAGAGTGGCTTAACAGAGGGCGTGGTTTCCTCGCATGACTGGTTCTGAAGAGAAATCATTAAGCCTCTTGTGGGAATTCGTAGGACGAGCTGTCTTCTTTATTCAGTTTTAAGAAAAACAGCTTTAGGGAAGTTGAGGAGAAATGACTATTCGGATGGGTCTTCAATGGTCTGTTTTAAATAAGGTGACCAGGGACTTTTTTAAAATGATGCGGGACAAATTGTTAAAAATCGGGACGTCTGGTCACCTTAATTTTAAAACATGCCTATAGCTTTTTTTAAAGTTTTTAATTTCTCTTAATAAAACGGGAGAGTAAAGCTTGGGTCTATGGCTCCGTGAATGTCACTGGCCTATGCTAACCGCCCACACCGTGCCGTCCCTGCAGAGGAAGGACTGCGGCTGTTCGTGGGCCCCGGAGGGAGGACGACCTTCGGCAGCCACCATCCTCCCAGCCGGTAAGGAGCCCCGGGGCCTCGTTCGAGTGCAGAGCACACGGGCCTCGTCCTCTAAGCCCCGAGAGCAGAGGAGGAAGGTCACAGGCTGAGGAACACTGGTCTCAGCAGTTAGTGTGAGAGGACCGGACACCGGACCCACCCAGTGTCTTCATTATACATAGTGACTGTTTCTTTTTCTTTTTTTAAATAAATTTCTACCTTTGATATTTACTAATTATATAATCTTGAGAATGTCACTAAATTCTTTTTTTTTTTTTAATGTATTTTATTGATTTTTTTTTTTTTTACAGAGAGGAAGGGAGAGGGATAGAGAGAAACATCTGATGAGAGAGAAACATCGGTGAGCTGCCTTCTGCATGCCCCCTACTGGGGATGTGCCCGCAACCAGGGCACGTGCCCTTGACCGGAATCGAACCTGGGACCCTTCAGGCCACAGGCCGACGCTCTGTCCACTGAGCCACACCGGTCAGGGCAAACAGTGAATATTTCAAGCATTTTCTATCCGTGGAACCTTTAACCCTGTGGAAATCGGATCTGGTAGAAAATGCCCAACACACCCCTCTCCCTGAGCGCCCAGGTTCACTGGGACAGTTTCAGACGCTGCCGCTCAGAATGGTGACCTCTTTCCCCTGCTGTGTAGAGTGGTGTCCGGAGCCTACGAGCAAGTTGTGATCAAACGCTAGACGCCCGGCCGGCGAGCGGCGGCTGAGCCGGCAGGCGCTTTCCCGGGAGAAGGTGGATCCGTGTGGAAAAGGCGGCGTGTCCGTGTGTCCCCGGGAAAGCCAGCGCACACAGGGGGACCATCGGACGGGAGTGTCGGGGCCCTGCGTGTCATGTGTGTGTCTGTGTGTGTGTGTGGAAGTCCACAGCGTCCGTGGTCACTGCCCGGGATCAGGCAAAGACTGCTTCTTCTTTCAAACCCCCCTGGAGGGGACACGGCTCTGTGCACCCCGGTTTGGTTCATGTTGAAGCATAAAACCTGCAGTGAGGGCGCACAACAGATTCTCAGTACTTCATGTTATGTTTGAAAGACAATACATGATAAAGACACTATACATTCTGTCAAGATAGTTGTAATTCCTGCTAAGGGAATCTTGCATATATTATACTACCTGGAGTATTGTACTAAGTTTAACTCATTTTGATACAGTTGGTATAATTGGTATTAAAAAAAAAAAAAGGTGTGGGTGTTCATGCTTTGGGGAAAAGCTCTATATACTACAATTGGAACCTTGCAGTAAAATGCTTAGCGTAAGCGTATCAGTCATAGTCGAATAACAAGTGTATTTGAGTCTGAGCTCCATGAATGGGAGAAATGCTCTTACTAGGCAGTGTGTGTTGTTACTTGTTAGTCTTAGAAGCTGCAGAACCCCCTAGCACTGTGTCATGTCGTGTTCCATGTCAGGCTGCCATGCCCGCGCACACCCTCCCAGACGAGCTGTTTTAACGCTCTGAACAGTATCTGTTGGTAGAGCAACTGGAGCAAAGTTGGGATATGATGAGACACAGAGCAGCCTTCCTCTGTAAGTTCCCACTTCTCTGACATGGAAAATTATTCCAAGGAGGGAGTGGGCAAGACAGAGACCTGTGGTCTTCTGTCTCAGCTTTCCCCCACATCAGATACTGTGCTCTCTTCTCACTGTATCAGGAATTGGTTGTTTTGAGGCACGATTAAACTAGAACATACATCAAACAGAGCATTGGAAGCAAGCATAGCTGGCCTGGCCGGTGTGGTTCAGTGGTTGAGCGTCGACCTATGAACCAGGAGGTCACGGCTCAATTGCCCATTAGGGCACATGCCCAGGTTGAGGGCTCAATCCCAGAGGCAGCCGATCACTGATTCGAATCATTGATGTTTCTCTCTTTCCACTCCCTTCCTCTCTGAAATCAATACAAATTAAAAAGTAAGAATATTTGGAGCTGGCTTTAGCTCAGCAGTTCCTTTGAGTCACTTGCCAACCACTCCTGCTGGCAAGGGTGGTTTGAGACCCAAGGATGCCCTCCAGCCCTTTAAATTAAAAAATAAAATAAAATAAAATAAAAATAAATATCTGACCTGGATCCAGGTTAACAGCAAATAAACCTATAGAGTTTTTTTCTGGTTTTATGAGACCGTTTCTGTGTGGAAAGACCTTAACTTTCTTACTCTCACCCTAGAATATTTTTCCATTGATTTTTAGAAAGAATTGGAGGGGGAGAGACAGAGAAACATGGATGTGAGAGAAATATCGATTGGTTGCCTCTTGCACACACCCCGACTATGGGATTGAGCCTGCAACTAAGGTATGTGCCCTTGACTGGAATCGAACCGGAACCCTTCAGTCCGTGGGCTGATGCTCTATCCACTGGTCTAAACCGGCCAGGACTAGATCTTAATTTCCTTGGAATCATCCAGTCTGTTGAAAAAAAATGTAGATTCTATAAAACCAGTAATTTCCATTCTTTACTTTTAAAACCATGTCCAAGTAACATGTTAGAATTCCTTTGGTCTATGTATTTTCATGTGAGCAAAATAGGGGGTGTATTTTTAAAAAAATATTTTAATATTCAAATTGAGAGGTTAAAGAAACTTTAAATAGTTCATGTTAGGGCTTTTGTGTGGTTTTTAATATTTCAAGGATTGGGTATTCCAAGCAAACCCAAAACTACTTTAACAAATAGATTCTGAGATTTTTAAAGCAATGACACCCAGATAGGTCTTTTTTCTGAGTCACTTACCTTTCTAAGATTTGTTTTGAAGAAAAAGAAAATTGGCCTGAAGATGTAAGTTCAGCCAAGGAAAATGTTACCTCGAGTGGTAAAGACTTGTTGTCTATGAAGGAAACAAATGAAGGACCTCCTTGTTGTATATTACAGAAAAGAATCAAAGAAAGTTTTCAATAGAAATATGAAGATATTCTTTAGAGAGATATTTATTATGACATCTTAAAAACCTATTTTTCTATTTTCAAAATAGTATTCCTAAGCTATATTTTTGATTGGCACTTCCGCAAATGGCTTTGCGGTTGTGAAATGCTCACAACTAGACCGCAGGCCAGGCTCCGTGAGGACATGCCCCAGCTGTCGAAGGAGCTGCCATTCGGACACCGGCCCTGTTACTCATCCTTGCCTGCCCTTGTCCGAGACCTTTATACGAGACGGACTCTTGGTATGTGAAAACGACACCAAATTCTTTTATGAAAGCAAAATGTGAATTTTGAAGAGCATAAAAATCATGCCTGTATACATTTAGCAGCCACCAGAGAACATCTTGCTTTCTATATGAGTCAACATAACGAGCATCTGAATCCATGGAAACATAGGAAGAAAAGAGACGGCAGTGTCCTTCGTAGCCAGTGAAGTCTACATCCATTTTATTCTGTTTTGTGTCCCATCAGCACACTTTGCAATCACGTTTCATTCCAGTCCCTAAAAATATGTCAGAGTTTGCCTACGTGGCTGCCTGACTTCCAAGTTCTTCTTTTCGTGGAGCCTGTAAATCTGCTTATTCAATACTAACTACTTTTGGTTTCGTTTTGAGTTTGGAAAATGGAATTTGGGAAAGTAGATCTTAATACATTGACTTCTAAATATTAGACTCATACTTCAAGTCCCCTCATCTTGGAGAATTTGTACATATGTAACATTTCCTAACCCTGTGCCAGAGAAAAAGATGAATGGGATTTTAAAGTGACATTTCTGATAAGTGTCTTAAATACCTTGTTTGGGGGAATTACAGAAGAAGCAGGTCAGGAGCCCACTTCCTGTGACTTGTGCTGGTGACGGAGACCAGAGAGGATGTGAAGGGCAGCCAAGGACAGAGAAGGCTTGAGCCATCCGCTCCCCCTGTGCGGTGGCGTTGAAGGCACTGTACACAAGCACTTCATGTGGACTCGTTTTTATAATCTGACAGCGTCTCTTTTTTTAAAATGTATTGATTTTTTACAGAGGGGAAGAGAGAGGGATAGAGAGTTAGAAACATCGATGAGAGAAAAACATAGATCAGCTCTGCCTCCTGCACACCCCGCACTGGGGATGTGCCCACAACCAAGGTACATGCCCTTGACCAGAATCGAACCTGGGACATTTCAGTCCGCAGACCGACGCTCTACCACTGAGCCAAACTGGTTTCGGGCTGACAAAGTCTTGACCAAGATACTTCAACTATCTACTAGGCTCCAGTCAAAACATATTCACGTAGCAATGAGATTCAATACCTGGAAAACAGCCAGACTTAATTGTAGACTTTAAGATTTCCTCGCTAACTACCACTTTGCAAGCTCAGGCTGACAGTATTGTTTAACGCTTCACTGAAGAGCTACTCTGAAGACTCAGGCTTCCAGGACATATAACGTTCCCCAGAGACTGGGCTCATGTGATGGGGTTGTTTTATTTTGGCAGGTCTTTAACTGGGCGGTTCAGAAACCCTACTCGGTCAGTTCTCCTAGTTGGTACGTCATGTGACTATGATCAGGTACTGCAACTGCATCATATCACTCTTTACATGCTGGCTTAGGTACTGTGCATACTCCTAAGAGCCGAGATGTTGAAGAATATGAAATCCAAAAACATAAAGGATGCCTATATGAACCCTGTTTTAAGACTGCTCTGGAAAAAAGGCCTTATCATTCCTTTTCCATGTGTGACTTTTCATAAGATAATAAGCAGTGTGGGGCAAAAGTAGGTTTACACTTGTTCATCTGGAAAATATTATACAAGCATTAATAAATAGGTATTCTAATTCCTCCCACTTCTCCCAGTCAATAACAGGTTTTAAATTATAAACGTAATAATAATACAAGAAGAAACCCTGTGCTTCAAGTACTCACAACTGTAAGTTGCGTACTTTTGCCCCACAGTGTCCACACAGTGTATTGGACACACTGTGTAGGTGGTTTCCCGCTCCTCCTCCTCCTCCGCATGGCACAGCTGGCAGATTCTGTAACTTCCACAGGCGATGGGCTCTGCATTTCCCAATGTGTATGTCTGTCTCTTGATGATAATCATTGACCAAACCCCATCACAGGAAGACATTTCGGGTACATTCAGTTTGATTCATTTTTTTTTTTTTTTTAATCTTTGTTGGGGAGTTACCTTCGTTCTGTGCATTCATTTTTTCTTGTGGAAGCTGATCCAGTGGGAGTAGTCATGTCATTGTTTATGCAAAAATGTTTATTGAAGTGATTCCATTAGTATTGTGTCCTAATACTTGGAGAATGACCTTCATTTTTATACGTTTGTTTTAACTGCACAACTATAAATCCAGGAAATGTTCCCCCCCCCCTTTTTTTTTTACAGAAACTAATTTTTTATTGTAAAGTATTTGTAATAATGTAAAGGTGAATCCTATACATGTTCAATAAAAATCATATCTTAAAAGTTTAAAATTTCAGTCAAAGCTTCTGTCACTTGCCAGGGTCAGAAAACAGACGTGAAAGGACCGGTGTGTAACTTTCCCCGGGGGTTTCCCTTCAAAAGACATGAGCCTGCAACACGTGACCTGCGTCTGAATCCAAACGCCCTTCAGAACCTATTGTCTTCCTTTTTCTTTCTAACATTTTTATTGATTTTAGAGAGGAAGGGAGAGGGAGAGAGAGAGAAACACTGATGAGCTCCCAGGCCCAGCTTTCTTATTATGACGGAGAGCTTAGTGCTTCTCTTTCTCTTTCTCCCCCCATCCCCTCCCCTTTCACCTTAATTTACCGCTTCCTCTCTGTACATCACACACCTGGTAACAGCACATACAGAAATGAAATCTTTCCGTGTGCCTGATAGGAAATCTCTGGTGAGTCAGTCCATCCCACATTACACAAGACGCGAGAGAGAAAGGCCTAAATTTAGACATTCGCTGGGTTGGTGATGTCTCTTCCAGATGGACCCAGGTACTAAGCAAGGGTCAGCCTTCCTGTTTGAGTCAGTTCAGACAGGCCGGGCTGTCTCCTGAACCACTTCTCTGAAGACTCTGATGTCACTCTTAGATCTGGAAATCGTTTCAGCAGCGCTTTCCTGTGCGGCAAACGCTTCCAGCCGCGATGGAAAATTCGCATGACTATGTTTTGGGGTTGTTTTTTTTTGTGGGTTTTTTGTTTGTTTGTTATTGTTTTACATCTTACATCGGGAGTCCTCAAAGCAAAAGAATGCATTTACTTCAAGTGGGAAAGTGTGCCACCTTCTGGTATTGAGCGCCAGTGATTCAGTTTAAACATACCTCTCCCACACGATCCTTCCATGTTGTGATGATCAAAGGAAGTTTGTTTTTTTTTATTTTTTAATGCATTTCCATCAACTTGAGAGAGAGAGAGAGAGAGAGAGAGAGAGAGAGGAAGAGGGAGGAAGGGAGAGAGAGACAGAAACCTCTATAATGAGAATTACTGACCTGCTGCCTCCTCCACACCCTCACTGAGGATCCAGCCTGCAACACTGACCGGGAATCAAACCTGGCTCATGGGTTGACGCTTAACCACTGAGCAGCACCAGCTGGGCCAAAGGAAAATTTTGTCAGTACTAATTTTAAGTAATTTGAAATACTTGGAAGCAATTTTTCACACTTTGCTTAAATAGGGTTAAAGTGTTTCCTTTCCCTTTAGTATGGGATTAATGGAAGATTCAGTGAATTCACTTTCATGAGGATTCCTCCTAGAAAGGTCTGGGTGATCAGTAAAGAGACAGAGGGACAAGGCTGGACAGACACAGCAGTGGAATGTCCGTCTGTTCAGCGAAAGCGGGGTGGGAGTCGGGAGCAGTGCGCGTTTCTGGGAAAGACGAGCTGATCAGAGCCAGGGTCCCATCGGACAGGATGGGATGGAGAGGGGAGAGATGAAGGGAGCAATGCAGGCAGGGCACTGAGCTCACTGACAAGAACAGTGCCTACCTGGCATGCCGCTAGCTTTGAAGACGACTTGCAAGGTGAAATGCCCAGTGTATGACTTCGAGACCCTCCCAGCTTGTGGGATCTCAGCAATGCGAGGTGTTCCCTATTTGGGGATACCCCCAAAGGCATGCACAACATTCGAGGTAAACATGTTAGCCGGAGCATTGAAACCACTGTTCCCCCATCACATGAAGCGGTGCTTCTCTCTCTTCCATCACTATCTCCACCCCAGTTCCAGCCAGCAAGCTGCCAAAGGGGGCGTTCGAAACCCACGGACAGTGTTCACATCGCGAAGCTTCCCTTTCCTCCCGTCACCCGCACTCCTGTGCTGTATGATGTTTTAGGCCAGGGGTCGGCAAGCTGCGGTTTATGAGCCGAGGTTTGCCACTCTGTTGACTATTGAGTTTGCCGACCACTGTTTTTTTGTTTTTTGGTGTTTTTTAAAAAATATATATTTTATTGATTTTTTTTACAGAGAAGAAGAGAGAGGGATAGAGAGTTAGAAACATCCAGGGAGAATCATCGATCAGCTGCTCCTGCACACCCCCTAATGGGGATGTGCCTGCAACTAAGGTACATGCCTTTGACCGGAATAAAACCCAGGACCTTTCAGTCCACAGGCAATGCTCTATCCACCGAGCCAAACCAGTTTCGGCTGCCGACCACTGTTTTATTCCAACTGTGAGAGATCAGAATTTAGCCCAAAGGAGGGAGCGGATCCTAGAGATGTTTTCGAGCTACCCTTTCCCCCTGGGAAAAAGTTGTAAACGCTCTATTTCCTTTAACATTCTTTAATGCCAACAACAACAAAAACCAAGCATATCGGGAAGTCTCTACAAATACTCCCAAACAAAACAAGCCTATTAAGACAACAACAACATGTGAGTCATCTCAAAGTTATGTTACCGGGATAATGGCTACACCTGAGCACCCTAGGGGAGTGCTCCCCTGCCTTGGCGAGACCCTGACCCTCGGGACGGCCCCGCTCACGGACTCGCCTCCCGCAGGTCGACCTTCACGGCGGACCCGTCCCGGCTCAGCCTCACCGAGTCGGCGATGAGCGCCCTCATCGTGTCCACGCTGTCGCACAGGCGGTTCACCTTGGGGTAAGCAAGCAGCCTTTCCAGCGGGACGTAGAGCTTGTTCCCAAAGCGGAAGGGTTCGGGAGACTTCTCGATCTTTCGTTTTTCAAGTTCTGTGAAGACTGGCCCGGAGAAGGGGACGAGCCCGGGGTCGCTGGCGCGGTGGCCGTCTCCGTCGCCGCGCCGCAGGATCCGCAGGCTGGACACGTACCTCTGCCGCAGGCTCTGGACCTGGCGCGACACCTCATTGGCTACTGCGAGTTTGCGGATTTCCTTTTGCTGTAGACTCGGATAGGAGACGGAATACACCTGAAGCCGGGGGAGGGAAAACCCCCCACTTAGGATGTAGGAAAATGTTCCAGGCCGCGAGTAGTAACTGTATACCACGTGAAGAATTAACTGTATGGCCGTGGCTGGTTTGGCTCAGTGGATGGAGCATCAGCCTGCGGTCCAAAGGGTCCTGGGTTCAGTTCCGGTCAAGGGCACGTACCTCGGTTGCAGGCTCCTCCCTGGCCCGAGCCCTGGTTGGGGCTTGTGCAGGAGGCAACCAATCAATGTGTTTCTCTCACACCGATGTTTCTCTGTCTTTCTCTCTCTCCCTGAAAAATCAACGGAAAAATATCCTTGGGTGAGGATAAAAAAAAAAAAAAAAAAAAAGAACTGCATATGCAAATGTCAAACCCTAATTATAAATACGGACACATGGGCTCAACAAGGCAAAGTGTTGCTAATTAAGAAGAGAGATGTGTTGTTCTTCCCCCTTCTGCTTCCCTGAAACCAAAGGGTCAGAGACGCTCGGAGGCTCAGTTCCGTATCACTTCCTGAGCCCAGCAGTGACATGTCTGCTGGCTGTCCTCCTCCTGCCGAGGACCCTGACGCGGTCCAGAGGGGGGCCGCTGGCCCAACAGCTCAAAAGACCATCCATCAGAGCTCTGACCATGCTTGGGCAAGTAGGCTTCTCCCAGGGCC